GTGCTTTGTAACCACCCCTCTGCTCAGTAACCCAGCAGGGCCCATCTGCTCTCACTGCTGGGTTAGTTCTCTGGTGGTCAGCTGAACTGCAACAGGAAGGAATCCTATGGCTGAGGAAGATAAGAAGCTGAGATTCAGAGGAATAGAGTATATTTGTGATTGGGACTTCCCTGAGGCACCTATAAGATTATTCAGATAACTTATCCTTATTTTCCTGCTGTCTGACCAGATTGTTGTGGACAAAAGTTTTGACATATAAAACTAGTGAGTATTGGTAAATCGTAGAATAACAGAATGGTTTGGGCTGGAAGGGACCTCAAAGTTCATCCAGTTCCAACCCCCTGGCAGAGGCAGGGACACCTTTCACTAGACCAGGTTGCTCCAAGCCCCGTCCGTCCTGGCCTTGAACACTGCCAGGGATGGGGCAGCCACAGCTTCTCTGGGCAACTTGTGCCAGCGCCTCAGCACCCTCACAGAGAAGAACTTCTTCCCAGTATCTCATCTCAATCTCCCCGCTGTCAGGTTAAAGCCATTCCCCCTTGTCCTGTCACTACAGGCCCTTGTCAAAAGCCCCTCTCCAGATTTCTTGTCGGCCCCTTTATGCATTGGAACCTGCTTGAAGGTATTGGAACCTGCTTGAAGGTCTCCCCGGAGCCTTCTGTTCTCCAGGCTGAAGAAGCCCAGCTCTCTCAGCCTGTCTCCACAGGAGATAATTGATGCATTAACCCCCCCCCAAACTCATGCATTATCTTCCTGGTTCTGCAAAGAGTTAAAAAACCCCAAAACCCAACCCTTTGGAAAGGATGAACTGTTTCTTTTCCCTCTCTGGGGGCTTGTTAATCTTGAAACTCATGGGGGAAAATGGAAATGTTAGCTATTTCACAGCTAACCACTTTAGCAGAACTGCTTGGTTTATGTGTATTAACTCCAAACTGTCTTCTCCCAAGGCGGAGAGACTCAATCCCTTCCAAAGGCACTGTAACCTCTCCTAGCACCTTTGGGCTGCAGATGCAGGAAGTCAGACAGCTGCAGTTGGTGCCTCTCCAGCCTGACATCCACTGCCTACGCTGGCAGAGCTGGTCGGTGAGGGATGGCAAGTGGGCTGTATTTCCTCATATAATCCAATGAGAGCTTTGATATCTTAAAGCCAGAAGTGAATCTATTATATAATTTCCTGCCCGCTGCAGTGGCGAGCCGTGGGAGGTGACGAGTCCTGACTCAGAATCAGGCCTGGCTTTCTGTTTGTTTGCACAACCGCAGGGTGCGAGCACTGGTGTCGCTGGGGTGTTGAGCGAAGTCAGAATACCAAGATGTTGGTGTGGTAACATAAAGCTTTTGCTTAAGTCCGTACTGTTTGTCTTTCTGGGATTCCAACCCATCCAGCATCTCTTGGGATGCTCGCTCTTCTTTGAGAGGCTGTAGTCCTGCATCCAGCTCTGAGGCCTCCAACACAGGAGGGATATGGAGTTGTTGGAGTGAGTCCGGAGGAGGCCATAGAGATGCTCCGAGGGCTGGAGCAGCTCTGCTCTGGAGACAGGCTGAGAGAGCTGGGCTTGTTCTGCCTGGAGAAGAGAAGGCTCCAGGGAGACCTTAGAGCAGCTTCCAGGGCCTAAAGGGGCTGACAAGAAATCTAGAGAGGGACTTTTGACAAGGACCTGTAGTGACAGGACAAGGGGGAATGGGTTTAACCTGACAGAGTGGAGATTTAG